TGCATGTGTTTGTGTTTTTAACAGAATGTTAAAACAAAAAAAAATTAATTTTAAAAATAAAAAAAGCTTATAGGAGGATATAAAGAAAAAATATTTCTGTATAGCTGTACGCTGTGTCTATGTTTTAAGCTAAGTGTTATTACAAAAGTTAAAAAATTAAAATGTAAAAAGTAAAAAAGTTACAGTAAGCTAAAGTTAACTTATTATTGAAAAAAACTTTAAATAAATTTAGTGTAGCCTAAGTGCGCAGTGTTTATAAAGTCTACAGCAGTGTACAGTGATGTCCTAGGCCTTCATGTTCACTCTCTGACTCACTCGGAGCGACTTCCAGTCCTGCAAGCTCCACTCATGCTAAGTATCCTACACAGGTGTACCAGTTTTTATCTTTTATATTGCATTTCTACTGTACCTTTTCTATGTCTAGATATGTTTAGATGCACAAATACACAACTGCCTACACTATTCAGCACAGCACCTGCTGTACTGGTTTGTAGTCTGGGAGCAGGAGGCTGTACAACATAGCCCAGGCGTACAGTAGGCTACACCATCTAGGTTTGTGTAAGTGCACTCAACGACGTTCACACGAAGAAACTGCCTAACAATGTATTTCTCAGAACGTATCCCCACCGCTAAGCGATGCATAGTTGAATATATTTGGTCTCTGCTCCTGGTTCCTGGTATGCAGTTCCTCAGAATCTCCAGAGTGATAAGAGTGTCTTTTGTACGCTAATGATATGCCTAGTGGCTGGGGGCCCCTAATTTGCTTCAGAATGGGGTCTGCTCACTAGAAGGACCAAGGCATAATCATGGAGGATTGGGACTTTGGTCCCACAGAACAAGGGGCCAAAGGGAGAGGAGAAGGGCTGAAGGTCTAGCCAATCATCAACGGCCAATGGTTTAATCAATCATGCCTACTTAGTGATGCCTCCATAAAAACCCAAAAGGACTGGGCTCAGGAAGCTTCTGGATGGTGTTAGGTTTGCTCTGGGTAGGAACCCGAAAAGTATGTACAGGACAGAATGCAGCTGATAGAAAACTTAGTGAGTGTAAGGCTTGTGAAACAACAGCCGCAGGAGTCTGGAGAGCCTGGTGGTTGCAAATCTAACTCTGACCACTGACAGCTGCAGAACCCGTTACTGTTCAGAGAAAAATTCACCCTCCCTAAACTTCCATGCAAACCTCCTATGAAACCCACCGCTCTCCCCTTCCTGGGGTGGAAGCTCTTTTTGGCCTCCACCCATCTGCACCCAGATGCTCAACTAAACAGCATTTTGCTGCACCTGAGGCTTCATGTGTCTCCCTCTTGGCTCCAGACTTAACAGATGGACGAACACTTGGAAAATCCCAGAGGGTGGTACGACCAGAGAGAGCACAGCTCTGTGCCCCTTCCCCCTCGCTTCTCCCCCATCTGTCTGCTCACCTGCATGCTCTGTAATAGCCTTTGTAATAAACGGGTGAACAGAAAGTGTCCCCTGACTTCTGTGAGCCGCTCTACCAAATGAACGGAACCTGAGGAGGGGGCTGCGGCAACCTCGCAGGTCAGAAGCACAGATCACAACCTGGGGCTTCCGACGGGCGTCTGAAGTGTGCGTGGGGTCTTGTGGACTGAGCTCTTCATCTGTGGGATCTAACACTATCTCCAGATGGGTAGTGTCAGAACTGAATTAAATTATAGTGTCAGAAGTGCACCCAGTATGTGAGGAAAACCTTTTGGTCTTTCCTATTTCAAATAGCATGTATTAGATACAATAGTTAAAAAAGTAACAACAAAAATTGGATGATATATTTTAACTATTAGACACTAACCTGAGAAGCTGTTTCATAGCTCAGCTGTTCGTTTCTGAGTACTTATGGGGAAATCCCTTAAAATTAGTTTTGGTGACAATATTTGGAAATATGAATGGAAATGGATTATTAAATAATCTCATTAGGATACTTTGAAAATTAACTGTAAATTATTATAAAATTAGGAATTTTGAATTTGTTAATGGTTATAAAAGTTTTCTAATCCACATGTACTAGGATAGTTATAATTTAAAAAAATGGAAAATACCAAGTGTGGGTGAGGATGGTGAGAACTGAAGCCCTCCTACATTGCTGGTGGAAATGTAATGGTTGTTCCTCAAGAAATTAAATAGAATTACCATGTAACCCATGGATTCTATTCTTAGGTATATACCAAAAGATTTGTAAACAAGAACTAAAACAGATACTTGTACACTCATGTTCATAGTAGTATTATTCACAACAGCCACACTGGAAACAACCTAGGGGTCCTCGAATGACCAAAGGGATAAAAAAAAAAAATGTGGTGCGTCCCACTATGTGGATGAACCTAAAACATCATTCTAAGAGAAATAAACCAGACACAAAAGGACAAATGTTATATGATTTCACTTCTATGAAAATGGAGAATAGGCAAATACAGAGAGACACAAAAGCAGATGAGAGGTTACCAGGGGCTGGGAAGGTGAGGTTGCGGGAGTGAAGACTTACTGTTTAATGGGTACAGGGTTTCCGTTTGGGAGATGAAAACGTTTTAGAAATAGTGGTGATGGTCACACAACACTGTGAATGTAATTAATGCCACTGAATTGTAAATTTAAAAAAGTAGTTAAGATGACAAAGCTCATGTTATATATATTTTATTGGAATTAAAAGTTTCCTAATTCATCATAGCTTTAGGGATTGCTGGAATCTACTATGCTCTGTATCAGTGGTTCTTGAAGTGTAGTCTGGGGATCCCTGGGAGTCCCTAATATCCCTTTAAGGAATCTACAAGGTCAAGCCTATTTTCATAAAACCAAGGAATTACTTGTCTTTCACTCTAATTTTCTCACGGGTGTACACTTGAGTTTTCCAGAGGCTACGTGATGTGGAAAGACAGGAAGTAAATATTTCAGATTTGCAGACCACAGGGTCTGTCAAGACTACTCAGCTCTGCCACTGCAGAGAAGTCCTACAATTTGTTAACAAATGGGTGTCACTGTGCTCCAATAAAGCTTAATTTACAAAAATAGGCGGTGGGGTGGATTTGGCCCACAGACCCTGATTTGCCAACCCCGATCTAAACTGCAGCTGTGACTCAAGCATGAGAAAATGTCTGTGTCACACTGTCATGAGGCTTTGTAACAGGAAGGTGAGGTACCACCTGATCGCATTCAAAAGAACACAACAGCTTAGAATTTGTGAGGACACGGTGACAGCAGCAAGCCCTGAGAAGTGGTCCTCAAAATGAAAGAACAAAATAAATGTTTTAATCAAACAAAGCACAAAAGCAAAAGCACAGCAATCAGGAACACTTAAACCTAGGCCCTGCAAACATGGGGGCATCCGCACGTTAAAGAATAGCATATAACGAATGTTCGTGATGAGGATTCTGAGTCATCGAGGAAATGTCTAATTATCTTTTATACACTTCTCTTACAAGTGGCAAAGAAATGCATCATTTTAAAAAAGACAGACGCAAGTATTTCTGTCAATGAGTTACGCGTTTTTCACAGACACTATCTGTCAAACCCGGGTCTGACTCATGCTTCTTTCCTATTCGTTTCCATTTCCAGTGAATCAGCACATCCCTGTGACCCTTCCTCAGCTGAATGTGTGCTCTTCACAACTACTTTGGAAAACATTTGTCGCACCTACTAGAGCTTGAACATACGCATATCCAGTGACCCAGCAATTTCACTCCTAAGTGTACACCCACAGCCCTATTTTTTAATAGCCCGAATTGTAAACTACCAAATGCCTATCAATAGTAGAATGAGTAAGTGGACTGTGGTAAGTTCACATAACGGCACTCCATTATATAGCAATAAGACCGAACAATCTAAAGGTATACACAACAGAATGTACGAATCTCACAAATGAACTGATGAGAAAAAGAAGCCAGAAATGTATGATTTCATTTATAAAATGTCCAAAAGCAAGCAAAAAGAATCTATGCTTTTAACAGGACAGTTACTTTTAGACCAAGGGTTATAACTAGAAGGGAGCCCAAGAGAGGTAATGTTTTGTTTGTTTCTTTCTTTGTTGAGATGGGGATCTTGCTATGTTGCCCAGGCTGGATTTGAAATCCTGGGCTCAAGTGATCCTCCGCCTCAGCCTCCCAAGTAGCCGGGACTACAAGTTCGCGCTACCATGCCTGACTTGTTGTTGCTTGATCTGCATGCAGGTTACGTCAGTGTGTCCAATTTGAAAATTCATTGAGCTATCCAACAATCATATGGCACTTTTATGTACGTACATCATGATTTACTATTAAAAATCTGTCCTAGCTTTCAATTTTATTGTATCGATCCAGAACTGATTATACCCCTACACCTAGTCTCTCTCTACCTCTCTACCCTTTCCAGTATGGCTCAAACCCACCTGTGAAGTTAATCTGCCAGCAACGGTTCCTTCATCTTAACCCCTCTCCGTACCTATTCTATACACAGGAGGACTGACCTTCAATTGGTCCCCTTAACTCACAGAATAAGGTCTATAACCTCTAATTTAATCTCACACTCGATATACTCTGTATTTCCCATTCTACCTTCCAAACCTTTCTCCCTCATTATTCCCCCGCAAGGCTACCATTCCACCAGATTGAGTCTACTGTGCCACGTGCAGTCCTCTTACCAGGCCTTTGTCCACACTCTCGCCAACTATTGTTTGTACCTTTAATTTGGCACTTCATCAAATACTTACCCTGTGATATCTCTCATATTGTCATTTAATGTTTTGCTGTGAATGTGTTCTCTTTTTAAATTCAGGTGCAATTTACATATAATGAAATGCATGGGCCATAAATGATCAGTTATATGAGTTTTTACAATTCTATATGCCCATGTAACCACTACCATCAAGATATAGAACGTTTCTACTATTCCAAGAAGTTCCCCTGAACACCTCTCCAGGCGATCTCCCTTCCCCGACACAAAAACTAACTCTCTGAATGTTTACAACCACACATTAGTGTTGCCTGCCCTGATGACACATACGTACCTTTCTGACAATTACACATTTAGATGTTCAGGAGAATGTGGAGGAGACCTCAGAGTAGAACTAAAGGGTGGTGTGGGAAGGCCATGGCGGCGCATCTCTTGGATTGCTCGTTCCCTGTCAGTAGAGAGCAAACGAGAGAGATTATACGCAAGCACCTGAAAACCCAAAGTGACATACGGTGCTGTTAGTTAACTCAGTAATTTCTATGAAATTAATTACTTAGTATTTCTACTAAATTTAAATCCTATGTCTTTATATGATTTTTAAGTAGTGAATAAAAGATCTCAAAAGAATATGCATTATAACACATAGTTCAAAATCAACTATGGCATAATCACGTCTGAATAGTAGGTTGTCATTAAAATAATATTTTGGAAGCAAAATGCTCAAAATATATTTCATGAAAAAAGCAGGATACCATGTGTACACAAAGACACACATAAAAACACACATGACTAGATGTTAAGCCCCCAAATGCTAACGGTGACCATGGGAGGTAGAACTTATAGATAATTTTAATTTTCTTCTTTATACTTTACAATAAAAAAAAATCGTAACAAACCTGCTTAACGTGTTCTTAAAAATTAAGAGCTTCTATGTCGGCAGGCAAATTCCTGACCTGACCTGACCCTGCTGCAGGGTTCGGTGCCGTTCACCACTCCTGGCTGTCGTGACGCTGCCGTCTCCGCTTCTCTCTCCTACCTGCCTGACCGTTTCCTGGTTCTTTCCCTGGATCCTTTGCTTCTGCCTGTACTGCCCAGGGCTAGGTTTACATTCACGTATCCAGTGCTTTGTACGTCAACAACTCCCCGGATCTACGTCTTCAGTTCTGTTTTATGGTCCAGACCCACCTACAGGTTTCTACTGGACATCCCACAGGTGCCTGACGCACCCTAAACTGACCTTTCCCTACTGATTCCAGGCTTGGGGAGGTTCCATCCTCAAGTGTGCCCATGAAATCCTACGCCCATCTCTATCCCTGCAATTACATCCTGTTTTTAAATGTCTGTATATGTGTCTGTCTTCCTCATTATACTGGGTCCTCTGAGAGTCAGTTATTCATTTGAGTACCTTATTCAACTGGTATTCTTAGCATGTGGCATCGTGCCTGACCTATAATGAAAATAATGTCTGAACTATTGTGCCTCTACACACACCATAATAACAGGCTCTTTTTATCTTTATACCTTGCTGAATGTAAAAAGGTTGGAAAACTAAAATGTATTCAGTTTACTCTTTGGTGTTGCTGTCTATCAGACCACCCTTACATGGCAACCTTCCTCCTGCTTTTAGTTTCAAGCTGGTTGGTTTCCTTCCTTCTCTGTCCCTTCCTTTCCCATCTCTTCTTGTATTACCCCTGGCTTTTTTTGTTTTGTTTTTATTTTTTTGTAGTGACAGGGTCTTGTTGTTGCCCAGGCTGGTCTTGAACTCCTGGCCTCAAGCAATCCTCCCACCTTTTTTTAAAAAGAGACTCCCTGTGTAGCCCAGGCTAGAGTGCAGTGGTTATTCACAGGAGTTGGACGCTGCAGTGTGCCATGATAGCACCTGTGAAAAAAGCCAGGGGTAGTGGCCCATGCCTGTAGTCCCAGCAACTCAGGAAACTGAGGCAGGAGGGTTGCTTGAGCCCAGGAGTTGAGCTATGATGATGCCACTGTACTCTAGCCAGGGCAAGAGAGTGAGACTCTGTCTTAAAAAAAAAAAAAAGGCTGGGTGAGGTAGTACATACCTATAGTCCCAGCTACTGGGGAGGCTGAGGGGGAAGATGGTTTGAGCCCAGGAAGTTTGAAGCCAGCCTGGGCAACATAGTAAAACTCATCTCAAAAAAAAAAAAAAAGTTTTGATGTAAACAGGTAAGAATAAGAGAACTCAAAAACTGACCTCATAAGCAATTTGACACTCTTTGCTATTTGGGAATGAAATCACAAGAATATTGATATCTATGGTATTAATATAGTAAGAAAGAGTGACAGAAGAAAAGTAATTTGGCAATTGATTTGAAAATTAGACTTCCAAAGTTTGCTATTTGTAAGCCATATTAAATCCTTTTTGGACTAGAATAAGGAATACATAAAAACACTGTCCAATGCTAAAACATTTTTTCTTACCGTTCATATCTTTCAGCTGAAATCTGTCTTTTCAAAGCATCAAAATCTGTTTGTAACTGTACCACTTTAGCTCGAAGCATGGTATTTTCCCGGCTTTGACTAGTTCTTAAAACAAATTTAAAATCAAAGAAATAAATAAAAAATGTCTGTTTTGTGGAGTCAAGTGCTAGGGATTTTTATTAATAGAAATGGAGGTGATGATTAAGGACAGAAAAAGAGAAGATCAAGACCTTACAACAAATAATTCTCTAAACTTCTAGAGCTTTTATCACAAAATTTTATTTTCATTATCTGTTTTATTTAGCAAACGTTTACTGAGCTTCTATTCTAGTATGTGCTAGGCACTCCAGCAACACTGGGACTACACATTTGTATAAGACATGAACTAGAAAGTATCTTCATTGGCTTTCTTGACTCTTGCCTCAGAAAGAGAAATATTTTTAACTCCTTTTATTATAAAAGTGTATTTTTCCACCTGTACGATCTACTCTGGGTTTCCTCCCCTCTTCTAACAAATATCCCCAAACCTCTCCATTCTAAAAAAGATAAGATCCAGTATCCTCCATCAATCAATAAACTTATGAGGGTCAAATCTCATAGTCTTGTCTAAGTCTTGCTCCTAATCTACAGATTGAGACATAGCTGCCTCTTCCCATCCTGAAATGTTCTATTCTTCACTGACTCTGTTCTTTCCTCAAATTTAGGCACTTCCTAAAGTTCACTCTTCTCGCTCACTCCATGGTGAAGATATACAAATTCACATCTCCAAATGTGATGTCTCTCCTGAGCCATTCCCCTGAATTACCCAAAGCAGCGGATACATTAAGTCAAATATTTTGGTTCTGTACCAACCCTTCACACCCGCGCACCTTTCTCCCTCCTCAAAAAAAATTGAAAACTTATTTTTGACAAACTATTTTCATCACATAGATTGATTTATGACACTTACAATTTGCTTTCTGAAAGGGTTAACTTCTCTTTAAGTAGCTGAATTTCTGTATCCTTCTCGTGGGAGGTTAAATGAGAATGAAATTCTTTGTCTCTATTTGTAGCCAACAATGATTCCAGGTTTTTAACTGTATGTCTCTCATTCAAGAGTTGTTTTTTTAACAGGTCTGATTCCGATTTTACATTTTCTAATTCCACTGCAACCTACAGGAAAAACAAAGTAAGATTACTTCAGTATAATTTTAGACTTACTCTGAAAAATTATTTTATCTGACAATATAGCTCTGCAGAACTATTCACCCATCAATTGTTTCAATTTGAGTACTGTTTAAAGATTTTGAACCATTTAACTATAAGAAAAACACTATTTTCAAAACAATCTTTGTTATTTTTAATAAGAGCTTACTTGGCTATAAGACCTACTCCAACCCTCAAATAGTTTTCAGTCATGCTACCTTTTCAAGAGAGAATCATTAACACAAAATCCTTAAATGTAGCCATCCTATTGAGCCATGAGGCCCTTCTGGTCTATTAAACATGTTTAGCCTGACTACACAGTCAAGCCAGTATTGTAGCGTCTTAGTACCTGAAAATAAAGATTCTACTAGATGAGTGACAACTGCAAACACATGTTTGAAAACACATATTAGCTTGTTTAAAGTAATGCTTCTGTCTGGGAATGAAAGATTCTAGCTAATTGTTTAAGATTTAAACAACTTGAGATTTTTATTAGGAAACATATTCCACTTAGAAAGCATTCAAGTCTTACTTTTAAACAGAGACAGACTGTATTGAGATATGCTCCTAATCTATAATTAGAAGATTCATAATCTCCTAAATACCCATCTATTCCAAAACAGAGAGCACCTAATTTCATCACCATGATTGTCAGAGAAATCTTCACAAAGAATCTAGTAGTCAAAATCCTGTAACTGAAATCCTGTAGTTAAAGGTAACTACTCCAAAAAGGAAGGAATTTATCGGGTACTGAATGGTAAAGTAGAACAATTAGAGCAGGGCTCAATAAAATAATGTGCCAAGTCATTTTCTCTTTAGTTCTTACCCTCTCAAACTCAAGGCTTTTGGAATTCAATTGTTGGGTCATAATATCTTTGCCTGAATCAAGCTTTAGGCAAAGTTCTCTAAGAGATGACAAATCATTTAAAACTGCTGCTTTCTCATCTTCTTGATGTCTCAGCTCTTCTTCTAATCTAGACATGGCTTTTGCCATTGACGAGATCTGAGATTCATAAGCATGGTGGGCATTTATGTGCTGAAAAAAGGAAAAGCAACAGGTAAAACGTTAAAGTAACCCAATAATTTTAAGGGTTTGAATCTGTGCAGCCACAAACTCACGTTAGAAAAGTTTGAGAGCCAATTATTACATATTTTAAAATACTCCCAGGAGGTTGCCTGCTATTTAAAGATGGCCTAGTTAATATTAAAAAAGGAATTGTGTATAATTACTAATCATGGTAACTAAATATCTCATGTATATATTTGGAAGATGCAAAGCTGAAAATTATTGTGTCAGGGTGTTGTCAATATAAGGGATTTTTGAAGTTATATTAAATTTTTTTTCTTTATAAATTCTCTTCATTGTAATAATGCCTTTTCAAGAGAAAGTCACAAATATACTTACCATTCCCCACCTGTCTTGAGTTAAATTCTAAATTTCAAAAATGGAGTTTACTTTAAAACTAAATACCTGAAGTCATATTTAAATTTAATTGAACTTAATAACAATATACAACCTTATAAAATTTTAATAACTCTGAAATAATGAGCAAAATTTGAAATACTGATAAAGATTTTTCTCCTAGAATAATCTACATTTTAAATTTCTCACAATTTAAATTGTGAGTGATAAATATTAATACAAACTGATATAAACTCTATTTCTAAGTTTGGGGAAGAATTTCCACACTTGAAAAATGAAATTATTCTAACAGACTACTGAAAGGAATCAATAATAAAAATCTAATATTATGCTGTGAAAATTTAATAAATTTAAATAGTTGCAGAAAAGTAAATATTTGTACTTTCAAAATATTAATACATTAGAGTTCCCCAAAACAAACTAAATATAAATACATAAAAGCCAATTTCATATACCACATAAGAACATGAACAATGACAAAGAACAAAAGAATTAAAGAATAGTTTCTGAGACACTCTTTTAAGATTGAAAAACATTCTTTTAAATAGTTACTATACTCTTCTTAACAGAAAAAACGTGTAGTGTATCAGTTTCCTAAGGCTGCCATAACAAATTAACACAAACCAGGGAGCTTAAAACAACAGAAATTTATTCCCTCACAGTTCTGAGGGACAGAAGTTCAAAATTCAGGTGTTGAGAGAGTTGGCTCCTTCTGGAAGTTCTGAGAGAGAATCTGTCTTGTAACTCTCTCCCAGCTTCTGGTGGTTCCTGGCAGTCCCTGGTGTTCATTGCCTTGCAGACGTATCACTCCAGTCTCTGCCTCCATCTTCACATGGTGTTCTCTCCTGTCTTCTGTGTCTGAATTTCCCTCCAAATCTTATAAGGACACCATTCATTCACTGGGTTATGGCTCACCCTAATCCAGCATGGCCTCATCTTAACTTGATCACATCTGCAAAGACCCCCTTTCCACAGAAGATCGCATTCACAAGTACTGGGGGTTAGGATTTCAACATATCTTTTTGGTGGACATAATTCTACCTAACCTTTGGTCCCCGCAAATTCATGTCCTTCCAATGTATAAAATACATTCACTCTATTCCAGTATTCCGGCATCAACTCTTAAATCCAAAATCTCACCTAAACATCATCTGAAACAGGTATGGGTGAGACTCTGAGTAGGGTATACCCTGGAGCAAAATTCCTCTCCATCTACAGACCTGCAACACTAGAAAACGAGTTATCTGCTTCCAAAATACAATGGCAGGACAGGCATAGAATAGACAGTCCCATTCTGAAAGAAAGAAAATAGGAATAAAAGGGTTACTAGTCCAAAGTAAGTTCGCAAGCAAGCAGGCCAAATTACATTAGATTTCAAGGCCTAGGAATAATTATCTATGACTCAATGCTTTGTCTTCTGGGCCTGCCAGGGTGGCTCCACTCTCTCAGGGGTGGTGGCCATGCCCTCTGGAACCAACGAGGCAGCAGCCCTATCTCCTGGGCCTGTGCCCCCTGGGCTTGTGGTGGCAGCAGCTGTGCCATCAGCATCTGAGGTGCCCCTGGCAGCCCTGCTGGTCTCTGAGCTACCCTTAAGAGTCATTCTTTCCCTTTTTGAAGATGAACATGTTTGCAGCCAAGTAGTTCTACTGGCCTGTGTTCTGCTAGTAGGATCCCAGGAGTCCAACAGCCTTCCTTCATGTCATCCCATTTCTGTCCCTTTCAGTTAAAGCTGGCAGTGGTTCTGCTGAGATGACTGACCGGACTCACGAGTCACATAATCTCTTCCCCAAGAGGCTGTCTAGCCACACTCTTGGCCCTGGCTCCAGAGCACATGAGGCTGAGAATTTTCCAAAATCATCGAGTCCTGGTTCCTTCATCAATTTCTCTCTTTCCTCTCACATTTTACTGTGAGCAAGCAGCAGAAGCCAGGCTCTCCGTTCCGTACTTTGCTTGGAAATCTCAGCTAAATGTCCAAGCTTATCACTTACAAGTTCTTTCCTCTCAAGAGTAGACCATAAGCAAGTAGACAGTAGCTATATAGCCAAGTTCTCTACCTCTTCATAACAAGTATCATCTTTTCTCCGGTGTCCAATAACATGTCCCTCAATTCCATCCACACCTCACTGGAAGAAACATTCTTATTTCTGGCAAAACTCCATTCATGATGATGTATGTACTCTGCAAATGATATAAGCTTTTTCTGTATCTCTCCTCTCTTCTTTCTGAGTCCTCACAATTGCCTTTAATGTCCGTATTTCTACCAAATCTCTCTTCAAGGTAATCTAGGCTTTTTCAATCAAGCACCTCAAAACTCTTCCAGTCTCTACCCATCACCCAATTCCAAAGCCACTTTCATATTTTTAGATGTTTGTTACAGCAGTGATCCACTTTCTAGTACCAAAACCTATTAGTTTCCTAGGGCTACTGTCACAAATTGGGTGGCTTCAAATAACCAGTTTATTCCCTCATAGTTCTGAACGCTAGAAGTTCACAATTCAGGTGTCGGCAGGTTTGGTTCCTTCTGGAGATTCTGAAGCAGAATTTGCCCCATGCCTCTCTCCTGGTTTCTGATGATTACTGGCAGTCCTTGGTGTTCCTTGACTTAGGTACATCACTCCCATCTTCACACGGTGTTCTCCTCTGTGTCCCGTGTCCAAATCTCTCTCATTTTATAAGGACATCAGTCAATGGCTTAAAGGGGTGGGGAAGCTATGGCCTTAAGGCAAAATGTGGTCTTCTAGGTCTTTAAGTGAGGCCTTTTGACTGAATCCCAATTTTACAGAACAAATCCTTTTATAAAAAGGGGTGCAGCAGAGAACGATAAAGCTTTTCTTGCCTCCTTTGGTGCTTAAAAAATAACGATTTTGAAATCAGAAGGCCACAGGTTCCCATCCCTGGAGGGTCTACCCCAATCTAGTATGACCTCATTTTAACTTGCTTCTACCTGCAAAGACACTTTCCAAATAAGATGCTGAGGGTTAGTACCTAAATATATCTTTTTGGAGGCCATAATTCTATCTACTATAGATAGTCAATACTTTCTCCCAAAAAATCAAGATTACAAAACTATACCAACAAAACAAAAAAACCCAAAACTACTGGCCAACTATTCTATATCAGTCTAACCCAGGGTTCCTATTTTTTAATTGAACTCAAACTTTGTTACAAAGTTTTTATTAGACTGTCTTTATGACAAAAGCTTATTTAAATCCACATGGAAAAAATTATGGTGGACCCTTACTTTATACTATTTGTAAAAATTAATTCAAAATGGATCAAAGACCTGAACCTATGAGCTAAAACTGTAAATCTCTTAGAGGAAAACATAGGGGAAAAGCTTCATGACATTGGATCTAGCAATGATTTCTTGGATATGACACCAAAAGTATAGGCAACAAAAGAAAAAATAGATTAATTGTACTTCAACAAAATTATAAACTTGTACATCAAACACTATCAACAGAGTGAAAAGGGAACTCAAAGAATGGGAGAAAATATTTTCAAATCACATATTTAATAAGGGTATTAATCTCCAGAATATACAGAGAACTCCTACAACTCCACAACAATGAAAAACCACCTGATTAAAAAATGAACAAAGGGGCTATGTACAGTGGCTCATTCCTATAATCCTAGCACTTTGGAAGGCAGAGGTGGGAGGATTGCTTGAAACCAGGAGTTTGAGACCAGCCTAAGCAATACCATAAGATAAAAAATTTAGCCAGGCATGGTGGCATGCACCTGTAGTCCCAGCTACTCGGGAGGTGGAGGCAAGAAGATCACTTGAGCCCAAGAGTTTGAGGTTGCAGTGAGCTAAGATGACGCCACTGCACTCCAGCCTAGGCAACAGAGTGAGACTTGACAAAAAAGGAAACAAAGCCAAAAAAAACCCGCAAAGGCTTGACTAGACATATTTCCAAAGAAGATATACAAATGGTCAATAAGCAAATGAAAAGATGCTCAGCAACACTAATCATTAAGGAAATGTAAATCGGAATCACAATGAGATACCTCTTCACTCCCATTAAGATGGCTATTATTAAAAAAAACCCAAGAAACAAAATTACAAGTAGTTGGAACCCTTGCGCATTGCTGGTAGAAATGTAAATTGGTAAGTCCCTGTGGAAAACTAAATGGATCTTCCTTAAAAACTTAAACAGAATTATCATATGACCCAGTTGTTCCACTTCTGGACATATACCCAAAAGAATTGAAAGCAATGACTTGAAGAGATATTTATACACCCATGTTCATAGCAGCATTATTCTCAATAGCCAAAAGGCAGAAACAAACCAAATGTCCACGATAGATATACGGATAAACAAAATATGGTACATACATACAACGAATGTACATGAAGTAAACGTTAAGGCTAAGTGAAATAAGCCAGTCACAAAAGGACAAATATTTTACGATTCTGTGAGATACCTAAAGTAGTTAAATTCATAGAGACAGAAAGTAGGGCGGTAGCCAAGGGATGGAGTCGGGGACAACAAGGAGTTAGCGTTAACAGGTGTGGGGTTTCAGATGGGGAGGACGACAAGCACTGGAGACAGATGGTGGTGAGAGTTGCACATTATGAATGTACTTAAGCTACAGAACTGGACACTTAAAAATGGCAAATTTGATGTTATGCATGTTTTACTACCATAAGAAAAAGTAAGGGGCTCCTAAGCAAATTATCGAAATGACAAAAAATTACCACTGAGTTTGATTTTATCAATGCTTATAGTCTCATGTCAATAAAGCATCTTTGAATGTCTTCTGTTTCACTAAATAATGGCTTTACAAGACAAATCAGCGCATTACCTCTTGAATTTCTTTTTCTAATAACTCCACTCTTTCTCGAAGGTGTCTCCTCTCTGTGTCAATAGAAAGAAGTTCCAGTCGAACTGAGCTGCTTTCTCCCTCGGCCTGATGGGCTTTCACCTCCCAGTCTTCAGCCCGGTTATGGAGCATCTGAAATCTATCTAACAAATCTTGATTTTCTTTTTCCTGGTTTAAGCATGATAAAATTGTTTCCAAATTAGTAATTGTCACTCACTGGAACACTCATGCCATACACACACACACACACACGTTAGGAATTTTGCTCTAATCTAGGAAGCGTTAGATATCTGTGCAGGTACTAAACTAAGATCTATGGAGAAATAAAAAAAAGGCAAGCTCTCTACTCTCAAATGTTTAATATCTAATAGTGGAGACAAAATAAACAAACATGAAAAAGTTTTTTTTAAAAATCAGTCTTAAGTCCAACTTAAACGATGTTTTCACCTTAGCAGCCATCAAGCTCTCCCATCGTGACACCTCAGTTATGTAATTATGAACTCTGTTCTTCATGTCTTCTTTTTCTTGTACTGCTGCTTCCAATTCCAGTGAGATTTCCTATAAATTAGAAAATTGAAGACAAATCTAAAATGAACACAGCACCAAATAAGTTCTATTTATATTAAAATAGCTCCTTTGGAGTTGGGGAATATGAGAGAGTAGGAAAAAAGGAAAATTGTTCCTAAGGGTTATTTCCACGTATTTTTCCTGGCTGATCTTGACTTTTTAACCAAACTTTACCACACATCCTGACCATGTATCTGGCACTTATACTAAGGGTTAGCAATAATCAGGGGTTGGCATTTTTAAAAAATGCATGTAACAGGAATATATTTTATACTGAATAATACTGAAAGTAACTTTTGAAAAACATAAAATATTTACAACAGGAAAATTATTGGTTTCCTTGGTATAATCCTTTAATAAACCATTACAAACAAAACCAATACCTTTCAGTATTTGCCATTCTAAAATATGCATTCATTTATTTACAGGTATATCTCTAAGCCAGTGGAAGTAAGCACAAATAATTATCATCTATTACGTGTCTTTTAAACACAGAAACTGCCCTGGAAGTGATGCTGAGGTCATCATCCATTGTTTAACATTTAGCAAACAATGAGTAGGTACTATAAAACTATCAAAGTTTATGCATTGTGTCCATACCTGGTTTTCTCTTGCCATTGTAGCCAGATCATCTTGTAATCTTCTGTTTTCCTTAAAAGATACTTCTCTTGATCTTCCTACTTCATCAAGTTCTTTGTTAGCTGCATCAAGCTGGCGCCGGAGACTGCTTATCTCACGTTCTCGATTAGTCAATGTTTCCTTTAGCTGGCTGTTAAATAAGTGATGTGGAAATAATAAAAAAAAAGCTTTTTGGAAAACTGTAGCTCATTTTTTTAAAAAACTGTTGAAGTCTAAGTATACTTAACATATAAGATATATTAAGAATATAAGAAATTACAACTATTGCATTAAAATACTAATTAGGTAAAGTAGATTATTTTAGATCTCTACCAATCATTACAGGCAAATAAAGTCATAAAATAAGTACATATTCCAAAAGCAAAGTAAACACAGAAAATTTGTAAACATCAAGAGCAAAACATTATAGTCAACCGGCAAGTATTTATTAAATATTTACAACCCCACTAGTACATAAAAACTAAGGGCATGTAAAATGAATGTAAGTGACTTTTGTCTTGAAATGGCTTACAATTTTTCTGGAGACCAGATACAAAATTTTGTAACGGTGTTTAAGATAGGTTTAGATGGAGAACAAATTCAAGATTGGCTATGAAAGTAATCTATGTTTTGATGATTAGTGCCCGAACAGGGTAATTACAATAAAAATAAAGAGCAAGCAGGTATGTGGAAGAATAGTTAATGAGACATAAGATGACCTAAGATGTATAGATGTGGATGACAGAAAAGGGGAGAAAGTTAAAGAGGAAAACATATTTCCAAGCAGGAGACTGAGAAAATATTGCTGCCATTAGCAAAAAAGGAGAAATTGAAAAGAGAATTTTCCTATTGCTGGATTGCTACTAAATACATAAAACTAAAAGTTCCTAAAAAATCTGGATGCCATTTCATTCATTACTTACTTCATAGATAATTCATACTCTGAGACTGTTATCGTCATCTGAGCAATAGCTTTTTCCTATTAGGAAATATAAAAATATATGATTCTAAACTATTCATATAGAAATATCTTTAGTTAAATTTTTATAACTTATCACATTTATATAGTCAGACATATAGTTCAATTATATAAATTATATAAATTATGTCACAAAAGTAAACATGTTTCCAAGACCCAACTGTACATCACATGTCAGCGTGTTTCTACCCACCCTTCAATGGTTTTCTTGAGTTTGCTTTAATGAGATCTCATAAAATCATGCTCTAGAAATAGATAAAATCACATTTTCAAGATTCAAATCACTGGAATCAAATGAAATTTAAACATATTAGAAGACATGGCCCTGGGTTTTAAGAACTTGTATGTGGGTGATAAGATCCACATATTTGAAACAAAGAATAAAATAGTATTTTCTGTTTAGACACTGGAAAATGATATTTAACAGGTACATACTTTATTAACTAGGTTTTCTTGCAAATTGGCAATCTTTTCTGTCTTCTCATCTACAGTCTCCTGTAGAAAGTCTTTTTCTTTATCAATGACACCTATGGTCTTTTTCATTACATGAGCCTCCTCATCCTGTGAAGTCATCTTAAGATTTAGTTTATCTATAAATGAAAAGAAAGGTTTGTTAGACAATGTAAATTAGCATTAGCAAAAACAAAATTTAAAAACACTCACCTATTTTTTCCTCCAGTATTTTAATTTGTGCTTGGGCTGATTCAAGTTCACCTCTCTTTATGGAAAGTCGATGCTGATAGTCATCAAGGGACCGCTGTAGCTGCTCATT